TGTTTGTCTCCTTAATGATTGTTCTGTTTTATGAAGTTGGTTAACTTTCTACCTGTCTTAAATAAATGATTTTTTAAAAAGAAAATGCATCATTTGATCTATCTTTTTATTTTTGCTTGCTATTGCATAATATAGTGTAGTTATTTATTTATTTTTATTAGTATATTGACAACTCTGATGGGCTCCTGATAGTTTATAAACACTTAAAACCAAAGATATTTTACTAATAAAAGTATTTGTTTCAATTGAACAATAACCAATAAAATAATAATAACATAATAATTATAAGCACTGAACCATACACACTTTCATATAATATAATTTAGGAAGACAGAGAAGATGTATTACAGGTTATCAGTCTGACCTAAATACTTGTCCTAAGTAGAGTATTTCCTGCTAATTGTGCAGACGGTAACAATCACGTTTATTATGTTTGGAAGTATTTATATGTTTGTTTTATTTATTTAATAAAAATAAATGGCTTATTTGTAATCCAGATTTATCCCAAGTACACTCACACTATTTTTGGTATACCTCTAATTAATCAGCACAGTAGATTTGATTTAGTATTTCCAAAATAACATAATAGTACTTCAATTAAAAACAAGCTGCAAAAATAATGATCCACTGATGTGATGCAAACTTGGGAAGCCTGCATCTGAGGACATACATCACATAAAAGACAGCAGTCTTCTGGATTCAGTTGAGTTTTAATCAATGAAACTATAAAGTTGTGTAAAATAATCCTGGAAAGAGTTTTTGTACAACTTGGAGTAGATTGCTTTAATGGTGAAATATTAGTTTTTCTATGATACTACTTTTGAAGAAAGATTAATCTCACTGAATTCTTTCAGAGAATTCTTTAACACTTAAATTAGTTAACAAAGGAATCCTTATTATATTGAGCTAGAACTAATTTTCTTAATCTGGTTGATATATATTTCTATTTCTATATATTTATCTGGTTGAACAATTGTTTATATGATGGTTTAAAATGTTTTTTTTAAATTGTGTATTCTGTTTACTCATTAAAATTAGTTTAATTTTATTCCTCATTCTTCAAATAATCAAATATTTCTGGGAGAATTACCCTTCCTTCCTCCCTCCCTCCCTCCCTCCCTCCGTTTTGGATTGCAAAAGTTATATGGAACATTAAATTCCATATATATATAATTCTACGTGGGAGAAAACCCGAATAACTAAAGACCTACATATATATAAATTCTATATATATATATATATAGTTATATAGTTATTAGGTGATGCTAATTTAACAAGATATGAGAAACATTGCTAGCTGATTGTTTTCATAATTGGTCAGCTGTTTAGACTGGAGGTGGCATGTTTGTCCACTTATCAAGCCCTTCTCAAGAATGTTAAAAGATGTTGTTGCAGGATGTAAGCTGTTTCAAGTACAGCTGTCTTTTTCAGTTGACTGGTGGTGATTTTATAAAAAGTAGCTTTACTTAGAACAGTTTAGTTTACTTGCTGTGATGAATTGTTCTTGTAGGAAACTTGTTTCTCACAATTGTTTTGTTTTCATTTTATGCATCTAGACATAGAGTACAAAGGGAAGTGTTCATATTAGAAACTAAGTTAACCTTTAATTTCCTTCTTACACACACATGCACATTTACGCTCATATTTTGCTTCTCAGGATTTACTTACATGTTCTGAAAATGTTAAAATGATAAGCAGCATCCTGTACCTTTATCTGAGAGCCAAATGCAGGCTCAACTCAATCTTTTTAATACATAATTCATGTTCATATACATTTTATCTTTGCATATACTACAAGGAAACAGGAAATGTGCAGTTCAAAATGTTAAAGCAGAGTACATTTTATTAAGAGCTAAAGCAATAAATTAAATCCACTTATGAACTGAGGATTTCCCCCCCCCCCCCGAATTGTTCCAGACTGTTTATTTAGTAAGATGCAGGGCTTTATTGGTTTCTCAAAGGATTGTTATTAATAAAAGGTGAATTTTAATAAAATGGTAACATTTCCATACAGCTGATCTACAAAAGATGAAATGCCTCATTTTTATAAGTTTATATTAAAGTTATTTTATATTCTGTTTTATCAGAAGAAAATTAACTTGGATACTGTGTGTGTGAAAGGACAGTAGTGACAAGGTTGTTGTTTTTTCCTGTGATTAAAGCCTACATCCACTTCTAGTGTCATAAACTTATATAGCAAATAATATGTAGCACTGAATAAAATTTGGAACAGCTTTTAATAAGCTACATATACTTTGTTTTTTTTTTACAGAATCTTAATCTTAAAAAGGCTATTTTTTATATTTTTTATTTTTTTTATATTTTTTATTTTTATTTTTATTCTTTGTACTCTAGAAAGAGTACAGAGAAGAGCAACAAAGATGATTAGAGGATTGGAGGCTAAAACATACAAGGAACGGTTGCTGGAATTGGGTATGTCTAGTTTAACGAAGAGAAGGACGAGGGGGGACATGATAGCAGTGTTCCAATATCTCAGGGGCTGCCATAAAGAAGAAGGAGTCAAGCTATTCTCCAAAGCACCTGAGGGCAGGACAAGAAGCAACGGATGGAAACTAATCAAGGAGAGAAACAACCTAGAACTAAGGAGAAACTTCCTAACAGAACAATTAACCAATGGAACAACCTGCCTCCAGAAGCAGTGAATGCTCCAACACTGGAAGTTTTTAAGAAGAGACTTTGTCCGAAATGGTGTAGGGTTTTCTGCCTGAGCAGGGGGTTGGACTCGATGACCTCCAAGGTCCCTTCCATCATCATCATCATCACCATCACCATCATCATCTCATCATCATCATCATCATCATCATCATCATGTTCTTATACAGTGCAGTCTTCCAAATCACAAATTACTGTCTAGTATCCACTTAAACATACACTGTGAAGGAAAACCAACATCTCTTTCGGCAGTTTATTTCTTTTCTTAACTGTTCTTAGTGTTGGGGATTTTTTGTTTATGTCTTAAAAATAAATCTATTATTTCTCTATGTTGACACTCTATTGTATGTTTTCAAAGCCCATTCTAGAGCTAAGTATTCTCAGGCCTATATTTCTCTTCATGGGATTTTATTTTTAGTTCTCTGATTTCATTGTTGTCTTTATCTTATTATTTTTTCTGCATCCCATAACAGCACATTTATTCTTTTAGATTTCTAATCAGATTCCTTCTCTTTTTTCTGTTTCTTCTGTTTATTGTGAATAAACTGTAAATTACTATGTTCCTTTGGAATTCATCTTATTTTTGCCTATTATATAAGAGATATCTTCTTGTACTTATTCTAGAATTGTAAATTCCATCATGTTTATTTTTGATAGCATTAAAATATAATGCTATATATAAAGTTCTTTTGTTAAAAAGAACTTTATGAACTAATTGCAGTAATGATTGTATAATGAATTATTCAGTAAGCCAATTTCAGCTCCATCTAACAATGCATTTATTTTATTTATTAAATGTATTTGCCACCCATTGTTTAGAAGCAACTCTGAACAGCATACAGCATTAAAATCATAAAAGATAAATATTTTTAAAATAATAAAAAATAAAAATTACAATGAAAAATAAAATCATAGTTAAAAGATGGGGAGAGAGAGAGAGCAGAATGCAAGGGATATGTGGGATTGCCTCTTAATTAATTTATCAACCTTTTCCAGTGTGATGCTCACTCATTGGGGCCCCAAGCAATGTGGCAGAGCCAGCTCTTCAGGCCCTTACAGAAAGTCAGAAGGATGGGAGCCGATGTTACCGCAGGGGATAAGATGTTCCAAAGGGCAGCTGCCATGGCAGAGAAGGCCTTTCTCCTAGATTTTGCCAACAATAATTCCTTGACCCACAGGACCCACAGTCGTCTTCTGAGGTCCATACTTTCGATTCTTAACAAATTTCTAACTATTTTTCTTCCTTTTCTATTCTCTTTCATAAACTGAAGTGAAGGATGGGAACCACTAATAAAACCCCAGAGTTTACCTTCTTTCAAGATCTTGTCCAATCTCTTCTTAAAAACTTCCATAATTGGACTACTCACAACTTCTAGAGGCAAATCATTCCACTGATTAATTGTTCTAACAGTCAAGAAATTTCTCCTTAGTTTTAGGTTGATTCTCTCTTTGATTAGTTTTCTCCCATTGCTTCTTGTCCTGTCTTCAGATGCTTTGGAGAATAGGTTGACTCCCTACTAATTTTTGCAATTACTAGTTATGCAAGAGATGAACTTTTTAACCCAGATATTTAGTTCCTGGGAATACACAGTTTTTTAATCTCTTTCCTTTCTTCCTTGACTCTTTCTTCATCTGAACTCACCAGCAGATTTATGTTTGTTTCACAATGATATAACAACAACAACAACAACAACAACAACAACAATAATAATAATAATAATAATAATAATAATAATAATAATAATAATAATAAAGTTGGAAGGGACTTTGGAGGTCATCTAGTCCAACCCCCTACTCAGGCAGGAAACCCTATACCATTTTGGACAAATGGCTGTCCAGTTTCTTCTTAAAAACTTCCAGCGATGGAGCATTCACAACTTCTGGAGGCAGGTTGTTCCACTGATGAATTGTTCTAACTTTCAGGAAATTTCTCCTTAGTTCTAGGTTGCTTCTCTCTTTGATGGTTGTTTCTCTCTTTGATTTAAAAATGTTTAGAATAAAAACTATGAAGGCTTGTCACCCCAAAGGTTGCACTAAACAGAGGTACGGTTGCAGATTGAAAACTCCGATATGTGTATATTGAGTACACTTAATGATGTGTTTCTATGAAAAAATAAATTTATAGGTTGTAGTCATTAGAAAGGATATCTGTGAAATTATAGTGGCTGATTATGCATGGGTTTCAAATCATGCTTTTTAAAGGACCATCAGTCTTTTTAAAGGACCATCAATCTTTATTCTAATATCTGTATTCATTTGTAAGATGTTATGTGTAATAAATCTGGATTTTTCCTCCTCCTCCTCCTCCTCCTCCTCCTCCTTCTCAGTATTACGGGATGATTTCCGCCAAAATCCTACAGATGTTGTTGTGGCAGCAGGTGAACCAGCTATCTTAGAGTGCCAACCTCCTCGAGGACATCCTGAACCCACTATCTATTGGAAAAAAGACAAAATCCGAATAGATGATAGAGAAGAGAGAATAAGTGTAAGTAGATCATACAATGTTAAATCTATGTGAAGTATTAAAGAACAAATCTCACCATGGATTTTCAAGACAATTATTGAAATAAATGGCTTTTCATGCAATATACAAATTTATCATATAGCAACTAGAAGTTCTAATATTTGTTTCATAAAATAAAAATAACAAATAATTTTGTATGCAAATTTACAGAAATAATTACTGCAGTTACCACTATATAAACAAAATAGGCTCAGTGAAGCAACATACCGTCATTCTGTAAATTATTTGGCTGATAGTGCTAAGATTTTTTTGGTATGGCACCCATAATCACTGGGACCACCACAACCAGTTTATGCCATAAACTTTCACTTTTCACATCTTGATGCTTTATGATCTTTATTTCTTTGTCTTTTATTCTATCATCCCCCTGATAATGCCATATCAATTATCCAAATGTTTTTTTTCTTTTCAACAACAGTTACATCTGGTTTGTTAAGAGCCAGGACTATCAATGTGTATTTGTCGCATACTATTTTAACCGGATCATTTTCAGCTATTTTTTCAACCATATATTCCCATCAATTATTAGTACTATGGTTCATCGCACAGTCAGTCAGGTGTTCAGGCTGGATTTGGCATTTTTGTTCACCTGTTGAGTTCTTCCCAAGAACCTGGGAGAAGGCAGATACGTATATTTGATGGTGTTATAGATGTTGTCACAGGATATAAGCTAGTCCAAATAAAGCTGCCTTTTGCAGTTGACTGATGGTGAATTTTAATGATGTTCAAGTGGTGCTCCAATTGTTTTGGGACTGCACCTAAGGCATCTTATTACTACCTTTGCTTTCTTTTGCCACAGTCATTCTATTTTTATTTGCAGGTCTTTGTATTTTGTCATCTTCTCCAGTTCTTTCTCTTCTATTCTGCTGTCTCCAAGTACTGCCATGTCCACTATCCAGACTTTTTTTGCCTTTCTTATTGACAATTGTTAAGCCTGTCTGTTTGAATTCTAAAGTCTCAGAGCACTTTTTTATTATGTGTTCATCATACGTCAGCCAAATGTTTAGACTGAATGTGTTACTCTTATCCACTTATCATGATTATTGTTCCTTCAAATTGCACAGTCTTATACATTTAAATTAAATTAAATTAAAATTAAGCACTGTTGCTGTTTTTCTATTCATTTCTAGGTATGTCAGGGAAAAGTTCATAGTGCATAACAAGTTACCTTTTTATTTTTTTTTATAATAGATACGAAGTGGAAAGCTCATGATTTCAAATACAAGAAAAAGTGATGCTGGAATGTACACATGTGTCGGCACAAATATGGTGGGAGAACGGGATAGTGATCCTGCAGAACTTACTGTTTTTGGTAAAGGAATTCTAAAATTCATTCATGTTTCTGCCAGCTGACCTAGACAATGTTATTTATTAAATAACAAGTGTCCTGAAATTCTCTTTTTAATAGCTAGGTTTTGTGCCTTTGTTCTAAGACAGCTAGATTTATAACTAGATTTATAGATGTATAGCTAGTTTTATTAATATAAATATGCCATATATTAAATGTTATATTTTGCTCATATTTTTCTTTTGTACTTAGGTTGTTCAGACATGTTGTTATACTGGTCTTGAAACATAATAAAGATACTATTACTACTTCAATTACTTTGTGCAAACTATGTCCCACAATGTCTAATGATAAAAGTCTAGGAATTCATTTTTAAAAAATAAAAAGATATGTTCAATTGTTTATATTGGTTCCTGTTAGAAAACTACCAAAAGCGTTTAATAAAGTATTACCCCAGCTGATAGAAATTTCAGATTCTATTGTTTATTAATATAAATTCTACTCTACTCTACTCTACTGTATTCTATTCTATTATTTCCATGACTGATAGAAAAAAAAATATTTGTAACACTACAGGAAACTGAATCTGGTAGATGATACTAAGTTTATGTTAAAAAACTTTGACATGAAAATGTCTGCCTCAATTAACTAAGTTGCATGATCATCTTTCTTTAGGCATTTTATATTGCTTTCATTTTATATTGCTTTCAGTTCCTTGTTTTAGAAAACCATTCCTATAAATAATGTTCTAAAAATAAAATTGAAGCAAGAAATTAAGGTTTGCTGGATACAGAACAGATGTGGAACAAAGCTATTCAATGCAATTTACTGGAAATGCATAGAAAACTCTAATAAATTAGAAGAACGTTAAGCTGCTGAATATCAAATATATGTTGTTTTCTTACATATTGGCTTTTAGACATTTGCAGGTTGTATCCCTTTATTTTGGTTTTAAAATGTTTTCTACCCGTATCTAAAATTAATTCTAGCATATCACTTGGAACTGGTATCTAGGTCACCATACAAGGAATTTAGCTTGAGGCATAGCCTCTGGTAAAAATGGGTAACAGAAAGTAAAAGGTTATCAGGAGCTCAGTGAATATACTGTATGCAGAAGGATCAAAATTACAACTGCATATGAAGAAGTTTTCCTAAATAAGTTTTGGCATATTCTAAATAAGTAGAATATTAGTAATTATATTATACTAGTTATATAATTAGTATTATAACTAGTTAAATTAAAATATATTGTTTTCATCCATGTAGGCATCAGGAAGGGCATCCGGTCAGTGAAAGCTCAGTTCCATCCAGTTGCCCCGACTCTGCCCAAAATTAAAGGGATTACAGGGTTGTAAAAAGAGAGTTACTGATATAATCATTGCAAGTTAATATTGAAAGGAAATTGCATGTGTTTTTCTGTGTGTTAACAAGAAGCACTTCCATTCTCAGTTCTACTGACATAATTATTACTATAGTTGGTGTTTAGATTTAATCAGCATAAACTCATTAAAATCAATGGAATGTAATTTTGTTGCTCAAAGGATGACTAAAACTAGACTCCAAACATATTGTGCAGGTATTCATAATATTTGGTAGTGTTTCCTATAAAGATAAAAAGTTTTGAATTTTTCAGATTTTTATAGCTTAAAGAGAATGTGTACATTAATTACATATGTTAATTTCTATTCAAAATCAAATATAAATGTTCGCTTTTATTCCCAAATAATATTCTATTAAATTTTTAAATTAAGTTCTTAAACTTGCCATATTTTAAAAGGAATGATTGAGTGCATGAAACATCTTCTGCCACATTTATCTCCTCAGTATGCAGGATATTGCCATAGTTTACTTAATTGTATGCAATTAGATATTCTGATCTGCTGTTTTGAACAGTGTGTATTTCTGTTTCTGTATGACAACATTCACCCACAGCATTTTGTTCAAAAGGTTCTGTCAGCTTTCAGAAGCAACTTTTTCATGACTATAGGAGTTTGGGGTAGGGAAAGCCTGGTTAGGTTTAGAAAAGAAACTGACAAATAATGGATGTCCCACATATCGGAGATAAATTGTATAATTATATATAATTCTACATACTGGAACAAGATGAAGTATAAATAATAGATGACTTTAAGCTTCATTTGATTTGAGATAAAAATCATCAGTCAGTTATTTGCTTAGATCCTATTCATTAAACCCTGACAGTTAAGTTTATTTGTAATTTTACTCTTTCCTTTTACTTGAGTTACATAGAAAGTATCACATATTCAAATGAATGAGAAAGAATTGAGTAATTAAATAAACAAAATAAATAATGATACTTCATCTTCCAAATAAATATTACTGGGTAAGCAATTTTTGACAAATGATGTATTCAATATTGTACATATGAATTCTCTCATAATTGTTAGGTGCCATTAATAACCTAAACTTTGGTATACAGGTACTCCTCAACTTATAACCAGTTGCTTAGTGACCATATGAAGTTGCAGTAGATAGCCCCAAAGCTCTTTATGACTCAGTCCCAAAGTTATGGCCATTGCAGTGCCCCCACAGTCGCTTGCCCTTATGACCAACTGCTGGAATGCCCCCATATATTTATCAACTATATTGGGGAGAGAAGAGATGGGGCTCTCATAAGACAAGTGATTATGTGGGCATTTTACTTAATAGCTATCATGACTTCCAACCCTAATGGGCAGGCTCCATTACAGTTGTAGTCAAGGATTACCTGTATATGTTAATAAAGTATCTGAGCAAAATTGCTATAACAAGCCAGAATCCATGACTGACAAAATGATCTCTTATAATTTATTTTATATGCATTTCTTCTCTAAGACTTGTATTATTCAACACAGAAACAATTTGGGAGATAGTAAAATATATTTATTCAGCTGTAATCTGAAAAAAATATTTTATTTAATATAGAATATAATAGGTCTTTATTTTAATTTGCATGCTGAGTCTTCTTGATAAAATTATTATTGTAATGATGCCACTCAAATTTATGGATTCATTTATTGATTAATTTATTAATAGAAAAAAACTTTTCAGCCTACTTTGAAATTAACATTGCTGCACAATGAAAAAAATATACTATACTTTGGATATACCAGATAATTGCCTCTTATCCAATGAGGGACTAACATTGTAAAAATGTTGTAGATCTGATTTAAATACAGTTGATATTACTGTCTATGCATGTACAGTATGTGCTTTGAACACTCAACAAGTCCCTTCAGTTTTCTTGGCAAGATTTTCATAAATGATTTATCCCTGCCTTCTGAGACTGAGTGGCCCAAAGTCATTCAGCTAGGTTCTTATCTAAGGCTGGACTAGAACTCACAGTTTTCTTGCCCAGTGCCTTTAACCACTACAGCAAACTGGCTGTTAATATTATATAAAGAATGTTAATTGAATGACATTATTCTAAGCAGTTTATTCATTAATTGAATAATGGAAAAATCATGCTGTATGACTAATATATAAGCACAAAAGAATCAGTAACTTGCATATTCTTGCCTAACAATAGGCAAAATGTAGAAATGATGTCCAAATACAATAATGAGTATTTGTGTGAAATATAAAGCCCTTTATGTATTTATTTATTTATTTTGTACCTTGCCACAATCTGTTTGACTTAGTGCAGTGGTGGCGAACCTATGGCACCGGTGCCAGAGGCGGCACTCAGAGCCCTCTCTGTGGGCACACACGCCGTTGCTCCAGTCCTAGGCCTTCCTCTGGGTTTTATAAAACCTTTTCACTTTAGGCCTCCGCTGCTGTGTGCAAAAAAAAAAAAAAAAGGTTCAATCAGTCAATTTTAACTTCTCGTGGAAAAAAAAAGATCTTGCAAAGTTGGAATTGATTGATTGAACTTTTTAGTCCCACCCAGTCTACCATTACCACTGCAGCCACACCCAGCCAATGGGCCACACCCAGCCAATGGGCCACACCCACCCGGCACTTGAGGATGCATAAGTGAGTTTTGGGTTGCAGTTTGGGCACTCAGTCTCTAAAAGGTTCGCCATCACTGACTTAGTGGCTTACATGATATGAAAAAGAAAAAAAAAGGAAAGCATTCATGATACAATATAAAACACTCAGTTCTTTGTATATAAAACACAAATCTGGGAAACACTAAAAATAACAACTCATTAAAACTAAATAAATACTGGGCCCAAACAAGTTAAACATTAGACTTCATGACTGTTAATGAGAATAGGGAAATCTTTTAATAAATCACTAGGCAATCAATTTATTCTATTTTCAATATTTGAAATGAAACATAGCCATCTTATTTAATGTGGAACTCTTGTTTTCAAGAACGACCCACATTTCTCAGAAGACCAATCAACCAAGTGGTTTTGGAAGAAGATGTTGTTGAGTTTAGATGCCAGATACAAGGCGATCCTCAGCCAACAGTTCGCTGGAAGAAAGATGACATTGATTTGCCAAGGGGAAGGTAAGAAAAATGCTAATTATTCATCGTGCTTTTAGAACTGCCCCACTTATTCATATGAGATAGTATAAATCAGGAAAAAAGCATATTGGTTAAAATTTATTTACTTTATTTACTTCTATTACTAAGAACACATGTTCTTAAGGAGATACAGTTTGGTAATTAGAGATACTTAGCTCCAGTATCTCTACTATACTATTATGCCAGAATCAGAACACTTACACACATAGAAGTTCTTTATGTTTTTACCCCCTAAGCAGTCATTCTTAAGATCTCATTGCAGACCACAGAACACTGAGAGATTTCATCAATAAAATGTGATGGTAAAATGATTGATTATAGGGTTAATGCAATTTTCATTCATGGTTATGAGTTTAGGAGTGTGAATGAAAGCACATTTGATGTAATGCTTTAAGGCACCAGGCAAGAAACCTGATAGAGTGGGAGTTCTTAGGCACAAAGCCAGCTGAATGACCAGTCACACTCTCTCAAGCTAGGAAGTTAATGGCAAACCATTTCCAAAAAGCCAAGAAAACTGCAAAGGTTTGTCCAGGCAGAGCCCCCAGGAGTCAAAAATGATTCAGAGGCATATATACACAATGAAAACATTTCTAATCCCAACCTGAAACCCTGAGAAGTGCGAATGAAAAGTCGTATGTCACTTGGAAGTCTTACAATCTAACAGCAAATCAGGAGTATGAGCTGAAGGAGAAAAAGTTGCTTAACCAGGCAATAAAGGAATAGGCTCTCTGTTCTCCTTTATATCACTCTTACATGTTATTCATTTTTTTTAGATTTACTAAATAATTTCACCAACATTTAATAACTGATTAAAAAAATATTGGATCAGCTGTGAAGTTAACGTGACAGCACTAAGTAACACTAGTAAGATATAATCCAGAGAATGTTCATTGTTATGTCACTTGAAAGAATAACACTGTAAATAAATTTCACACTGTAAATAAATTAAATATTCAAACTAGCTAATCCTACATTATTAATTTTCCTGAACATTCTATACAAGTATGGAAAACACTTTTAGAAAATGCAGTGTTAATAAAAGCATAGTGTATTAGGATATAATATTTATAGTGGCACATGCTCTTATTACTCTCTAGAAACATAACTATTTCTTTTTATAACCTATGCTTCAAAATTTTCATATCTGGATATTTGTTTCCAAATCTTGTAATGCTAATTTTAAAAACCAGTGGTTTATTTTAAATTTCTGTTTGGTTGGGGATTTAATCCGATCGAGCACAGGCAAGGACGCAGGTTAGA